GGTGGCAGTGGGGAAGAAGCGAGCAGGGGGAGGGACAGAGAGAGAGAGAATCCCAAGCAGGCTCCACACTGTCAGCACAGAGCCCCAACAGGGGGGCAGGGGGGCTCAAAGCCACGAACCGTGAAATCACGACCTGAGCCGAAGCAGGATGTTTAACCAACTGAGCCACCCAGGCGCCCCCTAAGTTTCAAGTTTCTGCACAAACTAATCCCTCTGCTTAAAACATGTTCGCCTCTTCTCTTCAGCTAGCTTACTCACCCTTCAGGTATCAGAATCCTTTCCTCTAGGAAGCCCTCCCTAATATCCTCCAGACTGGGTGAAGACCCCCACTCTGGGCTCTCACAGACCCGTGAACTACCCAGCCCAGCCCACTCTGGGTCATCACTGCCTAAAGAAAGGTCTGTGCCCCTACTTGATGGTGAACTCCAGAAGGACAGGCCCAGGGCTGTCTCGGTCACAGCTATATCCCTGACAACATTCAGCTCAGAGCCTGGCAGTAAAGACCCTGGTGGGTGTTCGTGAATGAATGACGGATGGATGGAATGAAGGAAGGAATGGCCGGCTAAGGCCTTTGGCTTTGATCCTGAGAGTGATGGGAAGCCATGAAAAGGTTTTAAGGAAGGGAGAGGTGAGGGAAACTCACTGCGGGGAGGAGAGGGGATGGGGTCTCCCAGGGCGGGGCTAGGGCACCTGGTAGCGCCGTATGAGGGCCTCGTTCTTTCGCCGAAGAGCTTCGATCCTCTTGTCCAACTCGGCATCTTTCTCCTCTTTCGATTTCAGATCCAGTGTGGCTGACTGAGAAGGAGAGACAGCTGAGAGACAGCAAGGGAAACCTACACCCATCCCAGTGCATTCGATCCAGGGTCTGAGTCGTGGGTCCCCTCCTCCCAAGCTCCCTGCCCCAAAGCTCAGATTCCAGAGACTCCCCACTTTCCATCTCACCATTCCACTGGCTAGCTGGGGCCAGGGTCCCGGCAAACTTCCCCTGCAGAATCCGGACACAGCACCAGGCCTTCCTGAGGACAGAGGGAACGGAGCACTAAGGCCAATGACTCCCCAGTCTGCTTCCACCTCTCCTATACTGGGGGCTCCTCTCAAACACACATGCGCATTAACAACACCTGCACCCCGAGGGGATTCTAGCCCTCATTTCCACTCTGTCTTAAAGGGCTAGCCTGCCCCTTACCTGCACAAATTTGGACTCTGCCACCTCCCATGGTTTGTGCCCACCCACTTGCTTCTTAGACACTAGAGTCACACCCACTTTGGGAAAAGTTCCGGCCCCACCCCACTGCTTAAGGAAACAGCCAACAATGCTCCCTTCCAAAGGAAGATTCCAATCCAGCCTCCACACCCCAGTGCTGGGAGTTTTAACCCAGACCTCCATCTCCAGAGAGCTTTAGATACATCCTCTCACCCCCCAACCAGTACAAGAAAATTCTAGGCCCACCTTCCTGCGTCCATTCTGGTGCTGCTCCATCCCTGTGAACACTCTAAATCCACCTCTCTCCCAGGGACGTGTCAGAATCGTCCCATAACCCCACAGTCAAAACAAGCCCGATCTCCACGCCTATAGGCTGCCCTGACCCTGGGAGAACATTTTAAGCCCACGCCTCCAGCTTCCCGAGAAAGGTGCCGCTGTCTCCCCAACACCCCGCCAGATTCCAAACACAAGCCTGGTACCCAATGGCGAGGTTTCCCGTACCTGGTTCAACCTCCCCAGTGTATACTTCCCCGCCCGGCGCAGACAGAACTTCCCGGCCCGCGCGCGGCTTTCCGGGGGTGGGAGGGGGAAGCTCCAGCCTCAAACTGGTCCCGAAGGCCACGGCCACGGCCCCGCCCCCCTCCAGGACTAACTTTCTGGCCCCGCCCCACCCGCTAGGCCTCAGACCCCGCCCGCCCGCGCGCTGTGGAGCAGAGGCACCCACAGGCTGAGGCGTGGCGGCAGCGGCTGAGGGCAGAGTAGGCCCGGAGGAAGCTCTCCGGCCTCAGGTCTCGCTCTCGCCAGCACCCCCCGGCCCAATGATGTCGCCCAGCCGGGTGCAGGCTCACCTCAGCATTTGCGTTCATAAAACTGCTCCACCCATTCCGGCCTTCGGTGGCTGTCACCATACTCCCTGGGGTTCGGCTTTTCTCGGTCACTTTCGATCTCCTGAAGACAGCGTCAGGCAGCGGGAGGAGGGTCGGTCTTGGCACCAGCGGTATTCCCGCGGCCATGAACTTCCCCAGCCCCCACCCTGAGCTCTCTGAAATGTCGAGCAAAAGCGATAAGCCGACGTCTTCCCCTAATCCATGCGACACTATTCCGTGCTCGACCCCTGCGGTACCCAGCTCTGGGCAGTACAACCCTCTGGGGCCCTACGGGGTCTGGCGGCGTTACCATCTGACCTCATCGTCACCTCCTCCTCTCCCTCCTCCTCTCCCCTTTCGTACTCTGCCCCCCTCAGCGTTCCTAGAACACCGGGCTCAACCTCGGGGCCTTTGCCAACTGTTCCTCTACCCCCAGGCCCTCTCGTACCTCTCACCCTCCTTCGGGTTTCACGCAACCACCAAAATGTCCTCCTCGGAGGCCTTCCTGATTAAGCTAACAGAGCCACCTCCCGTGCCATTCTCCTGTTCCTTCTCCTGCTCCATACCTGGCATCGCAGCATTGTCTGGTTGTGTCTTCTGCTTTCCCCTCTGTGAATCGGCCTGAGTTGGGGTACCTGTCTGTTTCATCCACTGACGTGCCCCCAGCCTAGAGCAGCTTAAGTGACACACAACAAATTCAATATGCTTTTGTTTTTTTAAGTGAATGAATGCATGAAATATGAATAAATAAACCCCTCCCCTCTAAGTCCTTCCTCAGGAGACCTACCTACTCTGTCACTGCTGGTAAGGACCCTGAACCTCATCCTGGCCCCTCCTTCACCTCCTCCCCTCCCCCCATACTGCCTGTCTGAGGTCCTTCCCACAGCCCTGTCCCTCTCCTCTCCCCGCGGAAGTCCTGCCTCAGCTTCTCCTGAACTCTGGCCTCCCGGTATCCTCCTCCTCGCTCAACAGCACACACAGCAGCAAAAGAGCTCTTCTACTTCTGACCCCCACCTCCTGCTCAAACCCTCCAAGGTTCCCCAGTGCCCTCAGAAAACGTACAAATTCTCGGCGTGGGCGTGACCCTGACCTCCCTGGGTTAATATCCTCCACTGACCCTTTCCCATGAGCTGGGTTCTTTCCCTAAAGTTTATTTATTTGGGGGGAGGGGGGGGGGGTGGCAGTGGGAAAAAGAAGAGCAGAGGAGGGACAGGCTGCGGTGCCCGCACGGCAACGGACCATCGGCTTGGGGCTCAGAGGCCGGGCGTGGAGGCTGGCCCCCCCTGCCCTGCTGTCTCGGTCAGCCCCGCGCAAACGTACGCCGCAGGAAGGACGGTGGCCGGGCCAGGGCGCCCCAGCACCCGGCACCCACCTGCCGCTCCTGCTCCAGGCCGCAGCGCACCCGCTCGAAGTCGGGTCCCCCCCAGTTGCGCCCGTGCCGGCGGCTGCCCTCCCGGCGGTCCCGCTCAGGCTCCTCCAGGGGCCCGCCACGTCGCCGGGGGTCGTCCAGGAAGTTCCGCACCGGGTTGGGCTCCAGCACGCCTTCCTGCGGGCCCAGGGAGTGGGGGACGGGGTTGGCGGGCTCCTGGGGGGCGGGGGGTGGCAGAGGGCCGCGCCGCGGGGACGCCCGGGGCACTGACCCGCTGGTTGCGCTCATACTCTGCAATCTTCTCCATCTCCTCATTCATCTTCTCGATGTTCTGCCGGCGCCGCTCCTCCCACTCCTAGGGGGTAAGAACACGGACACGGAGACCCCGGGCCGTCAGGAAGACCCGCACAAGCCCACTGCTCGCTGGCATCCGGGCAGGAGGGGAGCCGCTGCCGGCCGGAGACTCCCTCCTTAGACAGGCCTGCTCTCAAAGGCCTGGGCCGGCATCTGGGACTTCGGCTCCCAGCAGGTTCTCGGTCAACGGCTAACTGAGAAAGGGGGCTCAGGGTGCCTGGACTCTCTGTGCAAACGACAGCCGTGCCCTGAACGCCGGCTTTCCTTCCGAGGTCCGGGATTTGGGTAGGCGCAAGGCAGAGGGGCCCCACACGACCAGAGCCCGGTAAAAACCTTGGGCTCTTGGTCTCCAGGGAGTCCCCGGGAAGACAGCCCGTCGTATGGGTTGTCGTGACTCAGCGCTGGAGGACCCCCTCCCGTGTGACTCGGCCTGACGAGAACGCTTGGGGGCCTGCACCTGGCTCCCTCCAGACTCCGTCCCGCGTGCCTTGTCCCTCTGGTTTTGTTCTGTGCCCTTGCACCATAATGAATCTCACCCATCAAGCTCCCTGGGGAAACGCTGAACCTGGGGAAGGAGCCGGGGACCCCAACACACCCTGGCTGCCACAGAACTAATGACAGCAGTAACAGCAATTGCTTGGCAGATGGCGAGGTGACCCCCCACAATCCCTTCTCCCCTTCTTCCGTGGTAGCGGAATTTCAGATAGGCCGCAGGTTGCCGGAGAGGACGTTTTCATTCCCAGGGCTCGGCACACAGGAGACAAATAAGCTTCCGCTTGGTTTAAACCATGGTATCCGGGGGTCTTTTACGTGACGGCAGCTTAGCGTGTACAAATGGTAAACAAACACCCGTGGGGCGCCTGGGTGGCTCCGTCAGTTAAGCATCCAATTTCGGCTCAGGTCACCATCTCACAGTTCGTGAGCTTAAGTCCCGCTCCCAGCCCTGGACTCTCTCTCCCTCTCTCTGCACCTCACGAGATTCTCTCTCTCTGCCCCTCGCTCACATGCTCGCGCTCTCTCTCTAAAACAAATAGGTAGACAGATAGATGAACATCCGTAAGTGACATTCTTCCGACGCTCGCTCTGAGGCTTTCAACGGACTGCTGTTCACAGAACGCTCACAGTAACCTTTAAATCTGATTCTAGGACTCCCCCCAAGAAGCTCCCACAGGGAAGGGAGCTGCCCAAGGAGAGGGAACTCATCGAACCAAGTTGAGCCCAAGTCCATGGTGCGCTGAGTCACTCTGCCCCGCAGCCCCCCCGGCCTGCTAACCTCCGCATCGGGGCGGCAGAGCAGTCTCAGTAAGAACATCACTGCTCCCCACAAACAGATCCAGGGAGCGAGACAGACAGAAAAAGAGAACCAAGGAGAGGGCGTGCACTGGAGAGAAGGAGCCAGAGAGAGGACAGGGATGGGGCAAGACACGGCGGGTGGCAAGGGTGCACCAGACACAGAGCAAAACAAGGGGAGATAAAAACACAGGGAGAGGACGCGCGACACCGGTCAGGGGTGGGGGAGGGAGGAGAGAGAGAACGAGCCGACAGAGGGGCGGAAGAAGACAGATGCAGAAAGCCGGTCCGTCTGCGGGCAGGAACGAGGCGAACGAGACCGGAAGCGCATCAGCCAGAGGACGCCAGCCCATCCCGGGCCCCCACCTTGGATTTGCGGTCGGCAGTTGAGGCATCTCCGGCCCCAGACAGATGAGGGGACCCCCGGCCCCGGCCCCTCCGGCCGCGGCCCCCAGCTCCTCCTCGAGGCTGCTCCCCAGAACTGTCCTCCCAGTGACGGGCCACCCGGCCCACGCCTGCCCGGCCTCCCTGCTGGGGGAGGGGCCGGCCTCCCTTGCTGGCCCCCGGGGGCCGCGGGGTCCCAGGAGACCTCCGAGAGGGACCCAAGTTCTTCTCCTGTAAGAGGGAAGGGAGAAAAAGTGCAGTCACTCAGATGAGGAGACGGGGACCCCCAAGCCCAGAGGGCAGCTGTGGAGCAGAGGCCGCCCACAGGGCTGGGGCGGCTGGCGCGGCTGGGGCAGGTGGGGCGGAGAGGGGCGCTCTCCGGCCTCAGGTCTCAACTCTCATCGCCTGCCCCCCGGCCCAATGAGTCGCCCAGCCCGGTGCAGAGCTCACCACCTCAACGGCCACGTTCTCCTTCTCCACCGAGCGGCCCTTCCGGGGCGCTGTCACCGCTACTCCCTCGAGTTCAGCTTTTTTACGGTCCTCCTCGATCTC